GATAAGCTCGCACTTGCAATTTCCAGATGCTGGAAAACGCAGGTGCATCTCCACGTTATGATCGGTCGAACCATCTTTATCTTAATTAAAAGAAAATAACGAAGAAGTGGGGAAAGAGGTTGAAGAAAGTAAATTTTTTACGCATACATAGAATCAACTTTTCGTTCAAACGAGTTGATGATTTATATACCAATTTTATAAATGCATCTAAGATGCAGAAAACCGATAATGCAGCTGTACTTACAACTGCATATAAGCATGCGCTTAAGATAATTTCCGTAATTTGCTCGTTACATCGACAAAAGGTTAATTAACCGGAAGTTTCGAACTGGAGTCAGCGAACTCCCGAGAGATCGGTTGATTTGATACTTTGACATACGGTTAATTAATCATGCGCTAATTAACTTTGGAGTGTGATTAACTGCCCGGGATTTTTTTCACGCAGATTTTACCGAGGAGAATCAAGTTTATCGCGCACGTTATAGCTTCCCTTTTATAAATCACTTTCTACATTCCCGCTGTGCAAAGGAATGTAAAGAGTCATGCATGAATGCATTAAAAACATTCCTATTGTAGACGCGATCGTCAACGATGATAAAAATCCTGTTAACGGAAATAAATTCTTTCTCCGATAATTGCTATTTAATACATTTTTTTTCTATCAAACATAACTCAATTAAACATAAATCTTTTGCACGACGGTATTAAAATTTTACAATGTGAAATTAACTCGTGTAATCTTCGAAAAAGAAAAAAATTGCATTATATATATCAAGTATAATTCCACAAAAATATTCCAGAAATTTAACAATTATATTTTAATCTTGTGAAAGAAATATGATTGAAAAAATTAACAGAATACTAAGGTAAAAAGTAAAAATAGCTAATAACATTTATTAATATTATTTTTTCTTTATTGCTATTAAATTTATATTTGTACCGTAAAGTTTTTATGTTTCTGAGAAACGATCAAGACGAATGAAATATTTGCTACGTTACAACGTAAAAAGCGCATAAATTATACTTACGAGCGCGTGGATGTAAATTATTTAAGGACTTAATGTAAGCACCAAGCGAGGAATTAAACTTTCCACGTTGTCATTCGGCGGATGCAATTTCCGTTTTCGGAAGTTGCTTCGGCGTGCATGAGAACGATGTAAATGGCCCTAGGCGCATGGATCGATACGTGCAAATATTGGTAAATTATATGCTTAAATAGTCTGATTTGTTGTCCCATAATTTATGGTCATTACCAAACACATAATTATGAAACACGATAGACCTAGAGCGATTAAATCAAGGTTAACGTAATTAAGCCCATCATACCAATCTAATCTTTTGATCACCGTGGACTTTCAGAAACAAATTAGATCGTTTATTCTAATGAGTGGACCTGGATAAGATTATTGATAAAATTATCTGTTGTAAAAAAAGGTCCAGTTTCAAATGAAAATTGTCTTAAAGGACTTTGTTATTTAGATTCACTCGCATTATTTAAAATGTACGCCCTGCAATAATATTACAGACTTTGAAATGAAAAAAATATGGGTGAGGTTAACACTCTCTTGATATTACTACAAATAAAACATAAAAATGACATTAGTAAAGTTTCCATAATGACTCAAGAATTTTAACTACCCTACTGGCCCGTGAAAAAAATGTTGCGAGAAACTTTTCCGCAACTACAACCGTTTCAAGCGCGATGAAACATTTTGATGCAATACTTGAAATGTACAAGATACAAAAGTTGTCAAGCGGCAAACTTGGGCAATTAAATTTCTCGCTCTCTCAAGTACGCTGTAAGAAATTATCTTGTGGTTAGACGACCATAAAGAGCAGACTCTACTTAGCATGCTCGCAGTTTTCAAGCAACATTTGCCATAGCAAAATTATAAATTTTAATTTGCGGGAAATGAATCGAGCGTTAAAAGCAAAAGGATTTTATGTCTGTAGTTTAATGATCGAAATCCTGTATGTGATATATATAGAATTTATATACATATAATTTCTTTGTATTACGTGATCAACATCACACAAAACAAGATTAATTAAATTTGTGTTAATAATCGCAAAAACAACGCAGAGCTAAATAACTCGTTATTGATTCCGCATAATGATGATTTATTTAGAGAGAAAATAAGCTACATCAAAAATATTTTGCATCGCAAGTGGATGTTGCGAAAACGTTTTGAGAGAACTTTTTACGGAAGACTCAACTTGAATTATTTACCAGATCTTCTTTCGCACAGCACGAAACTTTGCGACGCGCTGCAATATTCACTTCTTCGTTCGACGATCAATAAAAAATTTTATGTGCTGTTATCGCTTTAACGTGAACGATATTTGAGCCTTGGGTGACATTTTATCAATATATCCGTTGTATTAAATCCTTGCCGATCGATGTAAACGTTTACTTGCCAGCGCTATTTCCCGTTAACGCTCGTATTCCGCGTTGGCATTGACTCGTATTTAAAGCTCGTTATTTCGCGTATAATTAAATACGCCACTTTTATTACTCTTTTTAATACGACACGCGCGGCACATGCCATTTGCAACACGAACCACTTTGCATAAATGTTATCGATCTCATCATAAACCATTCTTACCAAGATTTTTGCGAAAAATATTTATATAGATTTTGGCGATATGTCTCTAAAGCTTAGATATACATAAATACGAAACTCGATATACATATGTGTACCTACAAACGTGCGTACATGCGCGATTATTAACACGGTTAGTTACTTACACGGTTTCAGTTGCTTTTCAATATGTGGATAGTATATGTGTACGCGGATTTTGTAATACACGTGAGACCCCTAGTCGCGTCAGATTACGGTTGGCAAAACGGGATATCCAATAATAAAAACGTACATCGCGCACATCGGTTAAGTAACTTGCTTTAACGAATGGCCTGTAGTACGTGTGTATGCGAACTTTTTAATTGCTATATATCAAATAATTCGGATCTTTTTAAGCATTGAAAGTTTATTTGATATGAAATTTGTTTTGTGTGTTCTCTATACATCTCAACTTTTCTCTGCGAATCTTTCAATGAATTTGTAAACAAATTGTTAATATAAAAATGATTGACAATTTTTCATAAATATCTAATATTTAATTCAAAATAGGTCTTGCAATTAATTTTTATACAAATAATAATTTAAAAAATATAAAATTTAACATTGACATCAAATGAATTAAAAGTAAAAAAAAGTAATATTATTATTTGTATAAAAATTAATTGCAAGATCTATTTTAAATTAAATATTAGAAAAAAAATTGTCAATCAATTTTATATTAAAAATTTGTTTACAAATTCATATGTATATATGCTTGCCACGATCAAAGAATCAAGGAAACATAGTAAGATTTATCAATCGAATAAGGGAGAATTCAGGGTAATAATAGAAGACAGTATCGGAATACGAAAGAGCAAAAGTGTGACAGCGTCTATTGCGTCGCATATTGCTTTCGCTTATCATCAAATAAAACATTTGCGTTCGCTTAGATAAAACAAACGCCCCTTTGATTCACCCATTAAAAAACAATTCGTTATCGGTAAGAGGAGCGCGAGACTTGATCGAAAAAACTATCGCATTTATGAGTCTGTTCTTTAAAGCTGAACTGGCTGCACTAGTTCAGAGCTTATCTTTCTCCTTCCAATGTGAAGAGAAAAAGATAAATTCTGAATTAGTGCAGTCAGTTCAGCTATAAAGAACAGATCCTATGTCTCGTTGTCACTCAAAGAAAGCCTGACGGCACGACTGCATCCCACGTAAATAACGTTCGTTATTCGTCTTGGAAGTGAGTTTATTACATTGTGAGCGGTTACGAAAGCGGATTTTTTTACAGCCAGCTAGCAGTGATATATAAGACATCGTTGGCATACCAAGCGCAAAAAAGTTAACCAGGTGAGAAATCCTTCCTCGCGCACATGTTTGACATATATGCTTTTCTCGCGTCCGCCCCCCCCCCTTCCCTTCAGTCTTCTTATTTTTATTTATCTAACATCTTCGTGCAACTGACTGACAAACTATCTTTGTTTTATTTTAAAGAAATGTAAACAATAATCTATTTTATCGTATTCGTGTTGACAAATCAATTTTTTCGAAAATTTAATTATTTGTTATTGTTTGCAAAAAAAGGATTTGCCAATCGGATTAATTTTTTAATTATTAAATGTGAATGTAAATTCTTGATCAAGTAAAATCTATAATTTACGTCTATGTAAATTAAATTTAAATTTTGTTATTCTTAATCTCAAAGCTTGATTCTTGATTTAAAAAATTTTTCAAGTGTTAAATATTTTTTTAATTATGCTGCCAATAAAGAGTATGTTAAAACTTGAAGATAATTGCAAATTTATTTTAGAACGCGCATTAATTTATTTTGAAATACTGTATACACATAATCGATATCTTGCAACTTCGTAATTACCATTATCGTAACGCCATGATTAAAAAAATAAACTACTCAGCAAAGCGACATATTTTTTATGATAACACTCATAGCACCAGATCGGTTCTCGATATTGGATCTCGGGAAGGAAGCAGATGAATAAATATAAAATATCTCGGAAAATATCAGTTCTATTTTACACGATCTTTACATAAATCAAATAAATAAATTTAAAGTTTAACTCAGGAGTATTCGATCGTCTTAACTTTCATTATAACTTTTTCTTTATAAAATAAACTTTATAACTAATTTCTTTATTAATATTTCAGCTCTATACGCCATTTGATGTATCTGATACATAGTTGAATTTATCAATTTGTTTCGTTTGATATTGAATATTATTCTGTCTTTTTTAGCAATAAAAAATATGTTGATATCAGGATAAACATACTAATATCCGAAATATTTTTGATTATTTTAAATAATTAATTAATTAAAAAAACAATATATTTAAAAGCAGCGATACAACTTTGTATATCGATATCAATTTTAACATCTAAAATATCTATAGAAGCAGCTCAAAATCTGGTCGTGAGAAAACAGACAGTACATTTGCTAGATGATATACTATAATAACATTTGATTCCACGTTACAGCGTGCATTTGATGCGCGCTCTGTTATACCGAATACATATTGTGTATTATATTATGTATATGAATTCGCGCCGAGACGAGACGAGAGCGCAATCGCGTGACTAGACGCAGACAGGGGCGAGGAAGCATTATTGAGCACGTGCACATAAATGTTTCTGAACAGGCTCATATTTTACTTCATTCCGAGCGATAAGAACCTTCCACCGCGTGATTCGAACAACTCATTTCTGACAACCCATTCATCGTTTTTCGCGGCACGTAACTTACAATCCACGATTGCGCACACTACTTTCAGACGCGTAACATAACAGATAAAACGCGCGAATACATTTCCTGTTCTACTTGCAGATATCTCCAAATATTAGTGGTCTGGTCAATATTTTGTACGTTTTGTAAATTCGCAAACTTTCATCGTTTGGCATATTACGGTTATTTCATTGCTGCATAATTTTTAAAAGTGTTACCACACTTTTTAATTTAAAAATATTTTTATTTTTGCGCGTATATAAATGGTAATATTAGGATTCAGCTTATTCGCACGATAAACTAAGGATGTTTATACACAAAGATGTTTAGAGCTATAGGGATCAAGCGACGTGGTAGCATCGCGACGACAAATACATAAAAATCAAGGATCCGACCGATGAGAGTCACTGCAAAGACGTCGAAGTGCTATCAAATAGCTTATTCGGAATGTTATGTCAAATCAATTTTCGATTAAGATATTTCAGGAATTCAAACCGTAATCAAAAATCTAATGGCACTTTTCTCATACAATGTGAATGCAAGTTTACGATTGCGACCAGTTCGAATAAGATTGATGCAGTCATAATAATAACAGCAAGCATTCTCATATTACAATCATTGTTATTTAAAATTAGTGGTACAAAAATTATTGAAATAAAACAGATTTAAAAATTAAAACTGTATCTACGGAAAAATTAAAAATATTGATGTGAATATATTAGTGGAATTTTTCATCAAGATAAAAGTACAATTGATGAACATTATACAAATAAAATACGTGCTGAAGGCACCGACTGGCAATTAATAATAAATGATCCGAAAATGCAAAAGTGCAGTTGGCCTCAAAATGCTAAAATTACATATATATTTTTTGTAGAAAAAATATAATCAAACGAGATCCAAATATAATAAAAAAATTGCAGTATATATTGTTATAATATGTTAAGAAAAAAGAATAGACACACATTGAAATATTTTTTTACAAAAATTTAAAAATTAAATTTTTTAAAATAATTTTTACAAAAAGCAGTGATTTCCCACTAAAAAACCTCACAGAAGTAAAAACAATACGTCAAGTACATAAAAAAATATTCCAATATTATATTGCTAAAACTTTCTTTTAAACTATATATTATATAAAAAGTGCTTTAGGAATTAAAGGAAACCTTATTTATTTAATGTCTGATTATGAATTGATAGGATATATAATTTACTATACTTGCCGCTAATTGTATTGATCTCATATCTGTTTTTATTTTGTCAAACTTTTTGTCATGTAGCAGTTGGAATATTTTTTTATGTACTTGACGTATTGTTTTACCTCTGTGAGGTTTTTTAGTGGTATATAATATCCCAAAAGTATCACTACTCCGCTCGATTACCGAAATTTGAGAATAAACAAACAGAGATGATAATTGCTTTATAACGTCAAAAAACATAAATAATTTTTGGAAATTAAAGAGTTTAAGTGACGTAAATAGATAACAAAGTATTATTCTTTACGCAGCACAAATTTTATAAAGTTTAGCGTAACACTATATCGAAAATTGCCTCGCAACAATGTATCGATTGTGTTTACTTATTTAAGATCCAGCTCTCCGCACTTCCCAGAAAAAAAAAGAGCTACAGATATGGGATTTTATTTTCTTCGCCGTTTTCTGAGCGTGCTTTTGCTGCTCGTCTCTTTGATATGTGCCACGCAAGGCACCAGCCTTCGAACGAGGCGTTCTGTCTTGGATAATATCGGAAACACATTGAATAACATCGGGGAGACAATCAAGGATACCATGAAGACCAAAATCGACTCCCTGTTCCACCGATATTCTACCATCAAGCCCGAAACGACCGAGCCAACCTTGGAACCGGATTATGGAACGTCACCGATCTATCGAGCAATCATAAAGGTCCCTATTAGATGTCCACCTAATCACGTGATAGTAAATGGGCGATGCCGACTCGTCACTCGTCGGCGATAAGATCCTGCTAAATTTACGAAAATTTTGAAAGCATCAAAATATTCTTGATCAGATTTTTATCGTGTGTAAAACAATATAGTTAATGATATCTTGTTCAATAATAAGAGTCTATAAAGTCCGGAAGTAACAATTTCTAGGGTTTTTATCGAGCCAGCATAAATATTATTTTATATCGAACAGATTATTTGACTGCACACATACATTATATTCTCATAATCATAACTTAGTGTAACGTATCCCAGGAACATTATCTATATTCAGATTGCGTAGCCGAGATAGCTCCCTTGAGGAGAATTTAATTATTCGTGGTAAGCACTAATCAATGTGACTTGGCAATCGTTGTTCGTGTGTACCATTAAGATTTTCAGTGTATTTATGGAACAGGTGTAATTACTTCACCTATGCTATTATGCTGATATACTTATCATGACACGTCAACATAAGAATTGAATAATAATATAATAACACATTTTATAATAACATTAATATCAATTAATATGCAGAAATATGTTAATGAATAAATAATTACCCCTTGTTCCTATGTAACAATTTGCTAAACTTATGATAATACTACTTTCCACAGTATACCGATATACTTATCGTGATACGTCGACATAAGACCTGTGAATAATAACATAAGTATACAGTTTATAAATGCGGTAATGTATCTACTGACAGGGCCAAATTAATAATAAGCCTTTATTAAATTTATCATTACAAATAGTAACCTATTTAATTTACTCCTCACAAGATTGAATTCATTTTACAATCGTCTCGTAATTAAAAATTGTAACCATATTGCTTATAAACATTCTCTCTCGTTTACTCCTTTTACTTTTATGTAAATAGTATAGAAACTCGAGCAAAACCTCGCGCCGATGGTGTTTAATATTTTCTTTTACGATCTTCGGACGATATCTTGCACCCGAGGTCCGCACTAAATACCCGTTCGATTTCTAAATTACACCTGTCACGAATATAAAACGAGTTACGAGCTACGCGATAGATCGAGCGGCATAATAATGGTACGGCGATACATATCGAATTCTTTTTTAATGCCTGTATCGCGTGTAAACTGTAAAAATGGGATCGAGGAGGCAGATAAGGGTATACATTTGTAAGGGATTAATATATCATTTACTGGCTTGGTGCCGCGCGCGAAGTGCCACCTTACCATTATTTCCTCACCTTATCCACCACGTATTTCCTCAATTATCAATTACCGATTATTATGCTCGTAACACGGTTCTCTTCGCGCACGACAAGCCACATAGTTACTTTTTATATACTGTGACGTGACATCTTTTGATGTCCGTCATAAGGGCCGGATGGCCCGACCGCGGACGGCGTTGCGGGGGCCTGCGTCCTCGCAATTTCGGAAGAGATAAATCGCGTGCGAGATCGAGCACTATTTCGTCTTTTTCTTTCCATTTGCGCATGTATTTTGCGAGCTCTTGACGAGCTTTAGCTTTCGAGTATTGTTAAGGAATTGATGATGTAACGCGCGTGTTACAGCGAATTTGAATTCAGTTTTAGTCTATATTTTCACATGTATAAGTGTGTACAAAAAAGAAGTTACAATATGAAACAAATACAGTTTTGAGGATTTGAACAAACTATAAATTTGATATTACAAAATTAAGAAAAAGAAATATATGTAAAAAATCTCTAGAAAGGACGAAAGCCTATCTGTGTTTCGTCTGTTTCTGCTCGAAAAATTCTTACTGTCTAAGACGGTACCTATCTTATTCTGTCGAGAGGCCACGTGCGCACGTTATGACGGTCGCCAGGGAAAAGGGACGAACACTGTACGTGTATTCTTTGCTTAAATCTGGCTCTCCTGTTCTCCTATGATCGAAATTTTATCGATTTTTCCGATTATCGCAAAATTACTGCCAAATTCGAAATATTCTTTTGTAATTTTTAACAAGTATCGGTATGGTACGAATCTCACCTGGTAGACGGCAAGCGGGAGACTACCAGTGGAAGCCGACGGTGAGTAGAAGTGCAGGAAAGACAGGAGCACACCAGGTAATGAGATCTTTGTCAACAATATCGAAACGACCTGATAACTCTGAAAACGAGCACTGCCGCCCTTATCAAAGAGACGCTACCCACAGATTCCATAGAGGCTGACCACTTCGTACGCGAGAAACCTCGACGCGCAGCACTCCGATCGTACGGGCCCGGGATCCCGACCCGGATGCCCACGTTCGACGTGGAAATCGACCCTGGGGATATCCGAAGACGTGAGGAAAACCCGGATTAGAGGAGGCTGCCGGCGGCCGAAAATTTGCGCTTCCAACATTCAGAAAAAACCACGGGCGAGGAAAAATAGGACCCGCTACTGCGACAGCAAAGACCGCGAAGACCGCGGGACGTTTCTGAGGGACGCGAAAGCGCCACAGGTGGCTTAATCCCAATTTAATTTGCCGGTGTGACTCCTGCGGGCCTTCTGCTTATCACTGTTCGGCGGATCGGCGAGAGTGACGAAAGTCCCAGCAACCTCCGACGAAATATCGGTAGCGAACACTGCGGGAGAGAGCGTGAGAGCCGAACACCGGTGTGTATCCGCTCTTTTGAAGTCACCGATTTTGGTAAGAGGATTCGGATAAGACACGCCATAGGATCATATCTGTCGCTAATTACCGTACTGTATTGTCATTGTATTATCGTTTTCCGTCTCGTATCGTTTCGATACAAGAGCGACCGCCGACCGGCGAAACGCCTCATCCGATCTAATTCTTTCGCGTGTGCATTCTGTCCCGGGAAATCTGCCGCCGACAGTCAGACATTTTTGTAATCTATTGTATAGTTTTCGTTTATTGTACGGACTATTATCGTGCAGTTCTATTTATATCTCGACCCGTCGTTTTCGGCTCTAAACCGTCTGGTCCGTACGAATTAATCGAGTTACCGAGTATTTTGCCGTCGCGGGTTATGAGCGATCCACCTTCGGTGTTTCTCGCATCTTTTTTTCTGTGTGTGAAGCGCGGATTCTCGCGTCTGGCGTCCAACTTTGGTGTAGATTACCGTTATTGCTGCCTGGAGATCGACATCGATAGATCGCGTCGTAGGTGTGCCGTGGGCTAACAAGAAGGGCCAGCGAACAACATTAAAGTCGTTAATAATAATCTTAAAAATCTTAAGGTCACAACACATATATTAAACAATTTATACGTGTTTGCGTTCGCACATTATCTGTTTCAAATAAAAATTCTGTATAAATATAAATTGATCCCTACAATCGTGCCTTAACTAAAATGGATGACATTCCTAAAGAGTTGTAAAATTATATATATATTTAAGCATGTATATATCCCTTTTCAAATAAATCTTTTTAGCTGCAATAAATAATAATTGCATACCTGAAAAAATTGGACTATATTTTTTACGAAACTTAAAATCGAAGAAAATAAATTCGCAAAATTTTAAAAATTACCGCTCTTGCTTTTTCGAATCTGATAGAAACGTATATTCTGTAAAAAAACACCATTGACGATATAACATTATTGTCTTTCAAACATCCAATCACGTTTGTTATCTTTTTTATAAAAATATTATATTTTATTATTTGTTTCATCGCTTTTTTATCTCTTCTATAAAGCTCACTTACATAAAAACAGAGCTCTTTCAGAGAAAAGAGTAATTCAATTCAAAGTCAACCGGCTACCGACACGTTTTCTTACAACAAAGCGCGCTCGCCACCGAGCGATAAACTGGTATCGGCGACTTCACATAAAGACAGCCGTCGTTGAATGGAACCTGAATTTGCGTGATCGCTAATTGTGACTGCACCTGCAACGCCTCTTTGTGACCGGCGCGCGCCCTACACCCCTACTTGCTCACGTATCTGTAGAGAGCCGGCCAGATTTCCTGCTCATTGTCAGAAGTAGACGGCCCTCACGGCACTTGTTGCTCTTGCACATCGACATTTGTCTGGCGCACTATTATATCGCTATGCATTTTACTCCCGACGCCGGCACTCTTTGTCAAGTTAGGCTCGCCTCCGTGCGCGCGTCGAGTCCATAAATGTGCACTCGCGTGTTTTGTCTGTTCAAGCGAGTCCGTAACTACTGGGGAGGAGGAGATCATAAAGGAACATGGCGCGACGCGATAATGTACTTGTATACGACGTGCCAAATAGGCCAGGCTGTCTTTTAAATCTTGCTTTAAATAAGAAGTAATTTTTGATGAATTTTTGATGGTTCAGCAAAATAAATTGATTCAAAATATCTAAACCAGAACTTAGATATTTTATATAAAAATGCTGCGCGTGAATAATTTACGATATCAAAAACAACATATAATATTTAAATATTGAATCAGTGACACTTGCCGTATGTTATGACAGCGAAAATCATTGGTTATCTAATAATTCTCGCAGTTTTACCTATAATCACAGCCGAGAAAGTCATATTTTTTCTGTTCAGAACATGACGAGATCCGCCGTTATAATTCTCTATCGGGACGTTACGTGCATTATTCTCGTCGGTATGGTAATCCTTTCTTCGCCTCCGCATCGCTTTACGAGCACCGTTCTTATTGGATTTTTGCGACCGACGACGTTTCTGTATTCGACTTCTGAAAAGAATGTTTTATCGCTACTATTCGCAAAGAAGTAACTTCGAATGACTGTCCCTTTTTTTATTGCCCCTACTACTTGTTATTGTCGCATACTCGAGCGGATCACGCTCGGGAGTTCTCAGTGAGACATTCTTTGTGGTAATTTGAAATTCAAAGAGAGAAACACATACACATATAATGCTTCATAAACGATATAAAAATAAGATGAAAATCAATGTGTGTAATTCTTTCGATTTTAAAAATGAAATGTGAATATGTAAAACAAGTATCCCCTTTTTATGAAAATCCAATACTTATTGATATAAATTATATTACAGTATTTTTTTTAAAAATGTTAATGTTTTAATGAATATAAAATTAACTCGGAAACATTTCAAAGAAAGTTATCATTTGTTACAATTTTTGAATATCTTACAATAAGTACTGCAAACCTTATATAAAATTCTAAAAAATTCTATTCAAACTCATAATAAACAATAATTATTTATTAATTTGTTATGTAATTGCTCTACGACTTCCTGTATAAATATTTGAGAGTAATGCTGTCTCTCTATACGCTAGTATGATATTTCAAATGCCTAGGTAATTTTCCGGACATTACCCATGACTTCGATTAACGTCTAGCTATTCCGACTATCTACTATCTGTAGAACGAGAAGAGCTATCATTATTCCTTAATTTAGAAGCAGAAAAAAAGAAAATATTATTCGTACACTATGTATATTGTCTTTATGCGTAAAATACATACATACATATTTTTTATTTTCAAATTACAAAACGCATTATTCACTTTTATTTTAATTTGATAAGGCTAATCTATAAATAGTCTCACTACTAATTTATAACATTTTTTTAAATGATAATTATACGGATTATCTTTTCTGATACGAATTTTTAAATTTGTTTTTGCATAGTCAATTTTCTCTCTCTCTCTCTCTGTCTCTGTCTATACAAATACATACATACATATTTTTTATTTTCAAATTACAAAACGCATTATTCACTTTTATTTTAATTTGATAAGGCTAATCTATAAATAGTCTCACTACTAATTTATAACATTTTTTTAAATGATAATTATACGGATTATCTTTTCTGATACGAATTTTTAAATTTGTTTTTGCATAGTCAATTTTC